AAGCGTAGCGTAGCGTTAATGCCGAGAATCAAGAATCACAAGTTTAAACATGTCAATGTGAAGAAATAGCGTTATATAGCGTTAAATCGTATTTATAAATATGTAGCTATTGACTTTAATTGAATATATAAATCATATAAGAGTATTTTCAAGAGAATTTTTAAATATAAAATACTCTTTATTTTAGAGAGTCAATATTTAAAAATAAACTCCAAGAGATTTTCTATTTTAAAATTTTAAAATAATTAGTGGATATGGCTCTCCAAATTTAGATAACCAAACTCATTATTTATTCATAATTCATAATTATTGTATTTATGAAGTTATAAATTTCAATACCCCGTAATTTAAGTTATTCAAATCAATTCGAATTGATTGATCATTAACTTATAAAAAAAATATTTAAAATAAAAGATGGAGAGAAATTAATAAATATTCATTGGAAAAATAAAACAAAAAGTCAAAATAAAGAATATTATTGGAGTGTATAAAAAAATTTTACCCTCTTATCATGTATAATTTAATTTTTTTTTTTGTTTTTGGTTTTTTTTTTTTGGGTATCTTGAAGTTACTCTATTATTTGAAATTTAGGAACTGTCACCATTAGTAGCTAGGAATGGCAAAAAACCTTGTCGACTCGGACTTGGCTCGTAAAAAGCTCGAGCCGAGCCTAATTTTTTTGACCGAATTTTGCTCGGCTCGGGCCGAAAAAGCTAGACTGAAAAAAGTTCGAGTCGAGTCCGAGCTTTTTTTTCGTCTGGTTGACATGGCTACGGTCCCCAACCCGGATAAAGGAGGAATGCTTTTAACTTTTATTTAATTTATGGTACGTATAAATTGTACAAATTTTAAATTCTTTAAGTAAAAAATATAGTTTTAACATAAAAAATCAAGTCGGCCTGGCTCGACCCGCTAAGGCTTGGGCCGAAACCTCAAGCCGAGCCTAATTTCTTTTGGTCGGGCTTTGCTCGGCTCGACTCGAGCCCAAAAAAGCTCGGTCGAAAAAAGGTCAAGCCGAGCCCGAGCTTTTTTTTTCCGACTTGGCTCGGCTCGTTGACATGGCAGTTAGTAGCACAGTCACTATCGCACAACCTCAAAACTTCGTCCCTGTTTGGGGGTTGAAAATTTTTAAAATAGTGATTGATGGGAAAATGTGTGGCTGAAAAGTTTTAGATTTTTTTGTAATATTATTTTATTGATGAATGTGTGATTAAAATGAAGATAGAAAAAATTAATGTAATGGAATTTAATTTAGCCACTCGTCTAATAAAAGTCAATAATAACGATTATATTTTCAATTTTAATCTGATTTTAATCCCACCAAAACAAGCTGTTACTGACGGGTCCAACGGTGGCTTAAACACCAGCCAAACCCTAATTCTCATCGTCTTCTTCATTTTCCCCAAAATCCTAATCCTCAATTTCTACTCCAAAATGCCTCTCTAATCCTTAGCTATCTCTGCGCACACTTATTTTTCACCTAAGTCCCTAAAATTGCTCTCTCTACAAACAATTCTCTCAGTCCACAACCATGTCAAACGAAGGCGCATCAGCACCGCTCGATCAGCAACCCGACCAGACTCCACCCCCTCCATCTCAACCAGCACCCGGGAATGCGTCTGATGGGGCCGTATTACCACTCTAATGGCAACAGTACTAATGATAACGGTGCACAGCAAAATGGGATCGCTCATAGGCTGAGGCTCAACCCGAACGCGGATCACAAGCCGGATAACTACGAAGACCTGAATTTGGATTTTAGCCCGTTCCTCTTCAGCTCATTGTAGAGGTACCTTCCACCCAACATGCTCTCCCTGTCGCGTGACGTGAAGGTCACGTACATGCGTGATATCCTCCTCCGGTACTCCCCTGAAAGTGAACGCATCCGGGTGAGTAAAGCTGTCTTAAACTTGTATATGATCTGTGTATGAATTATATGTTCTACCCGTCAGTTATTGAATTTTTGTGGAAGGGCACATTGTCTAATGCCAGTGGGTGTGGGTCTATATATAACTATAATAATTTATGTTGTAAGTGTATATGAATCAAGAATGTAGTGCATTGAATTATGAAAGCTACATTTTGAAATGCATGAGGTACTGCATTGGTCTTGGAGGGTTTACATTGCATGCCATGGCGTCGATGTCATCTGTATAGATAACTGTAGTCATAAAAGTATCTGAAAAATTAAAAATGTGTTGCCCTCATTATGAAGGATGGATGTCATGCAGCTGGTCCCACCTGCCAGCAGACTCCTTTACATAATTGTGTGAACATGGAAATTTGGTGATGAGATTTTAGAAATGGATATTTCTACAGAAGCATAGGATAGCGCAGTGGATATTAATATAGTTTTACACCAGTGCATTGTGTGCACCAAGATACAGGTGTTTGGTGAAGTTGTGATGCCTAAGTGAGAAAAGGCGCACACTTGTAAATTCTAAGTTTTTGGTCATTAGCTTTTGGAAGCAGATATCTGGTCAGAATATAAACTTTGAATCCATGAGGTACCACATGATGGTGGATTAGATGTGTGAATACGTGGGAATGGAAAAGTGTGACTCTTAAGGTTTTGCGCTTGGTGATTGGGTAATGTACCATTTTGGAGGGAGGTATGAGCTAGAGAGATCGTTTGTTTCTCATAGATGTCTACTCATTTGATGGCTCTCTAGGCGGTGCAAGTTGTCATGTGAGAGTTTATGCATCAATATGGGAAATGGGGCGTTAATTTTTTTGGAATGGTTAAGTTTAGGAGGCAGAAGCTTGCATGAATGGCACAGTAAGTGGCTATGGTTTATTATTTTTTAACAGCTCATTAGCTTTTACGTTGTGTGTATATATATCGTGTGACTTTATGCATTCTTGAGCGTGTATCAATCTGGGTATTAAAATGTTCAAGTCTTCAAGGGTATGGTTATAATTATGGTGCGTATAAAATATTGTTCCAGAACTGGAAGTGCAGCTTACTGATTTATATATGTACTTTACTGGTTGTACATTGTTTTGGCAAGATGAAATCTGCTCTGACCATACTTTTGGAGCGGACAGTTAGAGGAGTGACTGAGGCAAAGGGGGGTATGCTATATATTTGATTTTGTTTTATTTTGGTGGTCGTGGGGATTTGTAAATTAGCCAAAACGAAGCCAAGAAAGATTGTATGGCTTCATTGTTTTTATTTTTTTTATTTTTGCGTGAATACATGCACACGTGTATGGAGGCAAATTTCTTGCTCACTATCTTTCATTATCTATTTACTTTATATATTTATTTTTGCCCCTGGGGGGAGTGGTTGGGGGTTTGATTCTATAAATCTAGTGTTTGTCTTACGGTTTAAGTTGAGTGGTGATTGAAGTCAGACAGATGATGGAATAGAAACTGTTTCACATCATAAAAAATATAGTCTCTTACATCATTCAATATCAGCCACCCAAATAATTGTTTTTGAATGTCAGTCAATGTTCTGATACCATTTGTACATTTCATGGCGTACACCATTCCATCTTCACTGATGTGCTTTTCATTTTATTCCATTTGAAACTATCTTAGTTATGTGTCTGCCAGCATAACTATTGAGAATTTACTGCTACTTTATTTTAACAGCTTCAGAAGCATAGAGAATACAGGCAGAAGATTATATCCAACTATCAGGTACAATTTGTTTCTTAAATTGTTGCTTTATGACAAGTATAATAATTCTAATTTAAATAAGCATTTTATCGATCTATTTAAGGAATGTCTCGAAGCTTGATTTTTCATGTTCGAAAGACATTGTGATGGTGAAACACAATTGAGAGAGAGAGAGAGAGAGAGAGAGAGAGAGAGGGAATATCAAGTTTTATTTTATGTCAAAGTTGTAAGTAGTACAATGCATAAACCCCCAGGTTTCAAACAACCTATTAGAAGTAGGAAACATCTAATAAAATCCTTGAGAATCTAACAAATACAGGAAAATCCATCAAATTTAGGTAAAACAATTATTAAAATACTGGAGAATCTAAATCAAGTGATAATGCATTGACCTAGGCGATCAATGCCATACAAATAACACTTTGCAATCTGCAAGTGACATATTAGCATGACAACTCAAGCTGTGAAAGCGAAAGAACTTTTCAAAATTATCGAGTCAATCAAGAAATGACTTAGGACCAACTAGACCATCAAAGTCTCACAGTTCTAAGTTAACTCGCCTTGAAAGATAATGAATGTCTTCAACATAGTCCTATACTTGGGATAATTGTATTGAAAAGGGGAAGGCACACTACTGTGATGACAAACCTAGGATCTCCGTGTAGCTGTAAAGGTATACGAATTGTACATGGTGTTGACTAAGGGTCCGTTTGATTGCAAGGGTGGAAAATTGGTGGAAAGAAAATGTTTTACTGGGAATTGATTTTCCTAGAAAATGTTTTACTGGGAATTGTAATTAATTGTGTTTGATTGATATAATTTTTCATGGAAAATGTTGAAAGTTTGGTATCCATTTGGCTTCGTTTTTTAT